CCACCCACCCCACCTGCTGCTGCTGCAACAGCATCTTCCTACCACCAGCTACTGCTGCTGTGCTGTGCTGCACTGGGTGGACTTCTTGGGAAGGCACTATTCTGGTACACCACCCCCACCCTCCCCCAGACAGCACCCAGGGCTGGTGCCCTCATCTACCCCTACTTGCAATACAGAACCTCAGCCAGCTGGGGCAGTAGGGGAGAAACCCCTCAGCTTTTCTGATGATGTGCAAGTTCAGTTCTTGAGAGATCTTTGCTCATTCCTTTCAGAATGCAATTTAGGGATGATATTTCAGGAATTTACACTTTCTCGGTTTTTCTGGTGGGGGGGGGGTTATCATGAATTGATTCATTAGTAAGTGTCAGATCAAAAAAATATCTTCACTTTAAGAACAACTTTCCAAAAACTAGAAGATCTTTTCCCATGGGAGTAGGAGTTAAGTTTTTTTTTTAAAGTTCAAATACAGTTTTAATATTTTTTTTTTTTAATTTCTGACTACTTAAAAAAAACACAACTTTATTATGTCAGAATGAGCTCATGTCTCTGAGAGATTATTTAATTGCAAATTCTTAAGCATGTAAACATTTGGTATTATCCAAAGTCCTTCCCATTAGTATTTTAAATTAAGCTTGATCAATAAAGTACTACATTTCTCTTGTGTAAGTGATTCTACAGATAGCATTGCCTATCTTCAATATACAGTATGTATTTTGCATGCTGTATGCTTTCAAATGGTGGAAGATTAGGGGGGTGGGTAGGGGGGATGAAACCCTATAGGGGGAGAGGGAGGGAAGAAGTTGGGCAGGGCTGGGACTGCTGCCCAGCTTGGTGTGTGAGACTTGGGGCCCAGGGCCAGAATGTGCAGCCACAGGGCCCCAGCAAGGAGCAGTATGGGGCCATGGGTGGCTGGTCCAAAGAGGGAGGGGCCGACTCCCTGCAGCTGTGCACACTCCCAGGGTGCAGGGGCTTGCGCTTCCCCATGAGGAGGCATGGAGCCTGCCTGACTCAATGGCATGTGGTCCATACCCAGCCTCAAACCCCATACCCGCTCCCCCCACCTGCAGGCAGGAGCTCCCCTCCCCACTTACCCAGTTGCCCAGTCACATGGCTCTGCCTCCACATCATGAGGCTCCCAGTTGGAGTGCTGGGAACTCCACAAAGGTGGAGGCACAGAGCCTGCCACTGTTAAATTATGCAAAATTATGCAATTATGCATGGGCACAATTGCATAATTTCTCAGGGTGTATGTGATGACCACTAGGCCCTTACCAGCGCTAACAGGGTGGAGATGGGACTCACAAGCCCACTCTGCTCTAGTGGGTCCTTGTCCAAGGCCCTAAATAAATGCAAACATTACCCAGCAGGCCACACTTCTCTCAGTTCTCTGCCAGTACTGGACCACCTCTTACCTCCAGTGTGGACGTTGTCATTTCTATCAATTCACAGCAGGGTGAATTTGATTTAAATAAAATCAAATCACGATTTAAATCACTGGTCAGGGAGCTTTGATTTAATCATTGTTTTCTACAAAAAGTGCATTCTTATTGTTTGATATAACCTTAATACAGTAAAAGCTCTGTTAACCGGCACCTGACAAGCTGGCATGTTCTATTAACCGGCATGCTGGCTTGTAAGGTAAAGTGAAACCAGAAGTGCCCACTGTGACACTTCCCCTTGCACTGAGCCCCCCCAGCCCGGGGCAAAGCAGCCTGCGCTGCTGAGCCCCCATGGCCCGGGGCATAGCAGGCTCCATGGGGCCCGCCTCCCTGTCCCTCAGGGCCTGTGGGAGGGTCGGTGATGCGGCGGGGGGGTCAGCAACGCCCCGGACACGGCGGGAGAAGCACTAGCCGGAACAGGCAAAGACGCCTGTTCAGGCCTTTTAATTAACTGGCATATTATGTTGTTCGGCACCCCTCATTCCTCATAGGTGCCGGATAACAAAATTTTTGCTGTATATATTACTCACAATTCAGAGATGTATGTTTTATTTTTAGAAGGTACACACTATTCATTCCTTCCAAATCTCAACAGTATCAGCAATAAAACAGATTTCCCTGCACTTGGTTCAAGGCTACAGAAATAGGCTTCCTGATAGTCAACATACATTCTATATTTCTCCTTAGCCCCATGTTGAGAACTTTGGCTATGACAGTTCCATCTATTTTGTCACAATTTTGTTCACAAATTGTTATCAGATTAGGCCAGTTCTCAATATATCGCTCAAAACAGTCCACTGCTGAGTTTCATTGCATGTCTTGTGGGAGAGTTAATTTGGTTCCTCCTGCTTTCTTCAGAGCAGCTGCTACAAAGTGGTTGTTATGGAAGTTTTTTGCAATTTCAGCAACATTAGCCTTTATTTCTGGAGCACTGAAGTCTGGCTAAGAGGAGCATCAAATGAGCACTGCAACCATATGTTATTAGCAGGGATCCTGGTTTCTATTAATGGTGTTTCATTTTAATCATGGAAAAATGTGAATTTTGGGTTACTTTTTTTAAACTGAAAATTGGGGATTTTTTAAAATTAGAAAACCAGAATCCCTGGTAGTGACTGAAACATGGCAGTGAAGTGTGTGTTCTCAACCACAAGGAAAGGAGAGTTTGTTGCATAAACAAACGGAGCAATGTTTTCATCAATCACCTCCAGGGCTCGAATTACACTCCAAATCTTGGCGGGGGTCTGCAGCAATGGCAGCCGGAAGGAGCCACCGCCACTGCCTGAACTGCTTAGAAAGGCACGAAGCAGGCTGGGGGCTCTCATCTTCCATGGGGGGACTTATGGGGGGCTCTCATCTCTTATGGGGGTGCTCATCCCCGCCCCCCACCTTGTATTTCAAACCCCGATTCCCTCTTGCTTTAATCCGCTGGGTTTTCTTACAAACTTATTCACGGTTGTTTCTGGATGACGGAGATTTTTTTTCTTTTTGCTACAGGCAATATACTATTTGACTGGAACACTGGTATCATTAGCAGATAACTCTGAAACTAGATTGTGATGATGATATTGAAGATGGATAGTCAGAATCCTGTATGTTGATCATTGATTCTCCTGAACAAAAGAAGTCAACCCAGTGACTACAGTACTGCTCATTTAGTGTTACTCATTGCACCCAGTACTACTTTAGAAGTGCAACTGTAAAAGAAAGATCTGCATATTTCAGCCATTATTTGACATCACAACTGCATTCAAAATATGATAGTTCCATAAAGTAACAACTATATTTTTGCTCAAACATTTTAATAAAAATTTAAGTAGTCTAGAACTCCACCCAAAAGATATGGACAGGGAAGACAGGCAGTCCTTAAGAAAGAAAGAAGGATGAAATTAGAATGTTTACTAACCTGGAGATCCTGCATATTTAGACATGTTTCAAAGCAGCTTCCTCTTGAGAAGGAGCACTTCTCATGATGTTGTTTCATTTGGACAACCAGGTGCATTTCTTTGTTCCACTGTTTGCATTTTGTATGCATGCATGTCTTACCCACAGGTGTATTCCCAAACAGGGTCTCTCTTACAGCCTGGCAAGCCTGCTTCCATAATTGGTATGGTAGAAGGGAAAACCTTTCCTTCACTAGATCTCAAATCAATGAAGAGGCTATACTCAGAAACTAATCCCTCAAGACTTCTGAAATATTCTGTTCAAAATGTTTCTTTTGTCTCTACCGCCCCACCCACCCACCTTGCATTTATCTCCAGACTCTTCCTCCTTGCCCAGATCTACTCCACCCCCAACATTCCTCTGTTCCAGTGATTGTCAACAGGGGGTATACATACCCCTTGGGGTACTTAAAAAGATTGTATGGGGGGGCTTCCACCACTGTGCACACCCTGGTGGAGGCCTAGGGGCATGTGCCCCCCCCAATCTGTGCATGGGGTGGAGGTGGATGCTGCTGTGCACTGGGATTTGTGTGCTGCTGCAGCTGCCCTGGGAGTGGTGCAACGCCACGTGCCTGCCACTGC